AAATATCCGCCATTTTGAAACGTCATTGTTGCCATAGCAAGGGCAGTTGTATAACTTTTGTGCAAAAATGCAAACTCTTTAGATGTTGTTTTATATAAGTAAGGTACTTTTTGTTTATTAACAAGTAATAATTGTCCAAACCTGGGGCCAAATTTTTGAAGAGGGGACTGAATTTCCTATGAAATATAGCAAAGGGGTTAATTTAAAGGGGGAACAATTTTTTGGGGACACCCGAGTACTCGGTTAAGAATTACTGCACGTCAGTCGAGCATAAATTCAAGTTACAGTATGTGGCAGTATACAGTTCACGTTACTACAAGAGACGTATTAATCAAAAGTTTAGATGGGTAATTATTTCATTTCATATTCACTGGATGTAACGCGCGCTGAAAGTGGTGACACTAATTGTTCCTGGTGGAACTAACTGGCGATTTACGAAACAGAAAATTGCGTCGGTAACCTCTATCAGTGTGCTTGTTAGTTGTACTACACTCTCTCAAATTCTTACGCCTTGGATCCCTCAGCCATGTCTGTAGGTCAAGCAGGGACGCCGGAAGGGGGGCGCAGGGGCGGCATCGCCCCTTTTGTCCTTTAGTAAAGGGGGCAGGGGGGGGGGCGAAAGTGCTCTTAGAGTAAAAATTCCAACCCAAAAATATGAGGTACAACGATTAAGAAGTATGAATTACGGGTGAAATGGACGTAATATTGAAATATACTGAAATTTTCTGGAATATTGTCAAAAATTAGATCAACTTTCAAAATTGTTTTGCCCTTGTTTTGGTGAATTAAGGTTCCAGAAAATTTTTTGCCCTTGTTTTGGTGAATTAACATTCCGGAAAAAAATTTCGGAAACCAAATATTAATTAGTGATTGCCCTTACGTCAACATTGCCTCCTGTGACCTACCCTCGCTCCGGCGTCCCTGAGGTTAAGCTTGTGCATGTATACAGCAATTTCAATTAAGGTTGTCCCCCAGCAAAGCGGAAAAGTAGAATACGAACGCGAAAGACTTATTGGGAATCGCTATCATATTAATGCAGTTTTTAGCGATTCCCAGCAAGCCTTTCGCGCTCGTATTCGACTTTTTCGCTTTGCTCGGGGACAACTTTAATTGAAATAGCTGTATATTTCTTCCTTCAATCAAAGTTGACAGTTAGAATAATCTAAATATAATCTCCGTCGGTTCTTTATGTTGTTCACTCCGCCACTTGTTGTAGGTTTCCAGGTGTCGTTCCTTCATGGCAACTAGTCTGTGTGATTCTCCGCCCAACCCAGCACCACTACCTCCCTCTGCTTGCAACTTTACAACAGTTACTCGCACAATGTCTGAAAACTTGTCCAAAGACTGAATGTCACTGTCAGTTTTCAGAGCAAGTATGCCTGTGAGTGACACAGCCGGGCCACGCTTATATTATTATTACACGTTTATTTTAGACTTGGTAGACAATTGAAGATTGTTTAGAACAAGAATACTATCGCAACTTGGAATGCTAAAGTTTGAAGTGTTTCCACAAATGGACACAATTTTATAACGTTTTTAAATTAATTATTGCATTTTGACTTGTGCGTGGCTTATTATTGCATGGTTATTGCAGACAGTCCCATGCAAGAAAAAGCTTAGGTAGAAAACCAAGTGGCGAGTTATCTGATGTCGATAAGTTTATCATTGGCGAGAGATTTAAGATTTAAGATAATTTTTAAGGGAATTACTTTTTAAATGAGAAATTCTAAACTTGTTTTATTCATTGTTAGCCCGCAGCCTCTTCACTACTAAAATTATACTGCAACCCAAACAAAGCTACTGACAGCAGGTGTTAAATATGTAAAGTTGCTGCAACCGCCAAAATCATTGAGAAAGCTGCTATACCTATATTACTCTTTTAAGTTCCAACATTTAAGGAGCCTCATTGTGTGATATAGAGAAAATCTTAAACGAATGGATATTGTTCAGCAATTAAATTTTAAAAGACTCCATAATTGGGTGGTATAGATAAAATCGAAAAGAATGGATATTGCTCAGCAACTAAAATCCGTCTTAAACTTTCATACTGTGTCTAATTCGTACATCTATTGCTTTTGATGCAAATGATTCAAACGGCTTTCCGTCGGTGAAAATGTTCTTGCCAGCGCACCAAAGCGAACAGGAGCTGTTTCCAGTCACTAAGTTCTCACATAGTTTTCCCGTTACTTATGAATTTTGTCTTCACCCGCCCGGCCACCAGCGTCCAGTTTTCACTGCTGCTAAATTGACAAGAGAACTACGCGGTGGAAAGGAATAACTCCATCCATATATAAACACGATGCTCATGGCAAAAGGCAATGGGAAAAGAGGGAGGATAAAAGAGAGGGAAATTGTCCATGCGTCCCCAAATGAGAAATAGAGTGCAAAATGCGTAAATATTTAAGATTTAAGATAATTTTGTGGGGAATGACCTTTTAAATGAGAAATTTTACACTTATGTTGTTCATTGTTAGCCCGCAGCCTCTTCACTACTAAAATTATACTGCAACCCAAACAAAGCTACTGACAGCAGGTGTTAAATATATAAAGCTGCTGCATCCGTCAAAATCATTGAAAAAGCAGCTACACCTCCTACTCTTTTAAGTTCCAACATTTAAGAAGCCTCCATTGTTTGATATAGAGAAAATGTTAAACGCATGGATATTGTTCAGCAATTAAATTTTAACAGCCTCCACAATTGTGTGGTATAGTGATCTTGAAGGAACGGATATTGCGCAGCAATTAAAATCGGTCTTTTATTTCATACTATGTTTAATTTGTACATCGTCGTCTGTTGTATCGTCGTTTAGTGTTCTCAACAATTGACGACAAATAATGTTGGGAAATATTTTAATCGAGATGACGACGCAAACGAAAGTCTGCATGTAAAAGCCGAGGCGTCACTCCAAAGCTTTGTGCCCAGCAAGGGCCCCTTTACCCAAGCCTCCTCCCCATGAGCTACGACATCGGGTAACTGGTGTACGAAATTAACTAGTTGGGCATGACATTTATAAATTTATAAGTAGTCGAGCCTCCCCCCCTCCCAACGTCAATGATCTGAATTGTCGAGCAACAGCCCCTATTTGTTTTAAGGCAGTAAAGAATTCCGAAGGTTGGTTTTGGTTCGATCTTTTGTCTGTATAAATCAAAGGTATTGAAACTAAGCGACCAATCGTATTAGAAGTGGAGGAGTGCAAAGAATCTGACACCTTCATATCAAGTTCTCGCACACCGTTCCTTTTTTGGGCGGGCTTTTTGCTTGTATAAAAATATCTACCCCAAAAATATCTTTCCTTTGCACAGTCCGTAATTGGCGACTCCCTCATTTAACAGCAGCCTTCCCTTTCAATGAGAAGTCACTAACTCCATCACTTGTTCAGATTGTTTAAATCCGCGTAACCGTCAAATGTAGGGGCATAATCACTAAACAAATATTAACACGCTTAACTATATCGAAGACGTTTTCCATGGGGAAATGGGCAAATCTTAGTATCTCTCGAAGTGGAGCGGGGGGGGGGGGCTGTTCTTCCTTTCTTCCCGACAAAGTTTTTGTTATGCTCCCTTGTTCCCCAAGCTTACATGCACGGGGAAGCTTACACGTGTTCTTGTACCTTATGATCTCTTTTTTTCTTTGTCGAGTTGCATAATATGCATTGTTCCTCTTTTTTTAATCCCTGCGAGACTCTTTTAATCTAACGTCTCAGGAATGGAAGCATTTTTTTACCGAGTTAATAAATATTACCTCGTATACAGTGAAGAACTATACTACTATGAACTACTACAATAAATTACTAATAATGTAAAGAAACAGGGGAGGATAGCAGCAGGACGATACTAAATCCTATGTGTAACTGCTCTCTGAAATTTACGTTAAATAATAGCAAAAAAACTAACAAAGAAAGTAAAATCAAGGTTATTTCAATGCTGTATTAGTTTCTGTTTGAAACTAGTTAATGAAGTGCTTCTACAAGGTCCGAAGTTAATGAGTTCCAGTCCGATGTAAATCGATTAAAACACGCGAACTTAAAATAATTTGTACGTGCGTGGTTAAGCCTTGTCTTATATTTCTGATTAGATCTTGTACGAAGTTTTTCTACTATGATCTGCCAATATCACGCAGACCAAACATTATTTTATTAAGTTGTACGAGACAAAGCTACTTTCTGCGCGACAGAAGAGACGGCCACTTGAGCTTCTTAAACATTTCCTCTTGGGATTGATCTGGATCACATGCATTTAATCTTGTAGTTCGCCGCCGAATCTTTTCAATTACATTTAAATGCTTTACAAGATGGGGTTCCTGCGTTCTGGCGGACAAACTGACAGATACATCTCTGACATCTTCTTATTTAGATGGCGTAATAGCAATTTCCCTTTTTTTCGCCCACCCTCTTTGCGCCACTGCCTTTGCTATAAACATCGTATTTATATGGACTTAAAGCGGTCTAATCAATTTATTTAGCATTTTAGCAGCAGTGTAAACTGCACGCGGGTGACGAACGCCTCCAAATTGTTTAATGAAGGAGAAACTTTGTGGATCATATGATGTGAGAACTTAATGGTTGAGAACAGCACATGTTTAATTTAGTGTATTGAAAATAATATTTTAACCGACGGAAAGCAGTTTTAATAAAGTGCATCAACAAACAAACATGTAGAAATTGAGCATATAATGAAAGCTTTTAAGCTTTTCGGTATACCACACAATTAACTTAAAAGTCATACGCAGCTGCTTTTTTAAGTGATTTCTACGGTTGCAACTGCCTTATATATTTAATTCGGGGGCCTGCAGTAGTTTTGATTGAGTCACTAATATTAAAATAATATATAATATGCCGGGTTTTCTGCAACACAAAGGAAGTTCTTTAAATGTGGGAACTTAAAGAGTTTAGGCAGCTTTTTTTAAGTGATTTTGACGGTTGCAACAGCCTTATATATTTAGCCCAGGCGCCAGTATATTTTATAGAGTCACAATATAGCGAAGAGGCTACTGGATAACAATGAACACCACATTTGTTCTGGATTGCGTTTTGTTCGATGTAAAGTACCAAATTCTGGCTAAAGTGCCGTCCCAAGATGTTTTTAACAAGTTGATCGCAGCCAGCACGTTTGTGACGATTTTAATTATACCAACGATTTTACTCAATGGAGTAGCTGTTGTCACAATAATGAAATGTCCTCAACTGAAAGAAAAGAACGCTTACTTCCTTATAATGGTTCAGTCACTTGCTGATTTAGCAACAGGATTTGTAACATTACCATTTTTTAGCTATGTTTGTATCACTCAGGCGTTAGGTACCGCAGATTGTTTCAGACAGCGGTTGATAATGAGTATGACGAGCATCCCATTTTCAATATCTCTAACAACCTTGGCAGTCATGACAATTGATAGATATATGAGCGTTCTACATCCTCTTAAACATCGAGTCATGGTGACAAAAAGGAAGCTTAAGACATTTTTAGTTTCTGCATCTTTGTTCATAACTGTGTTCGTTGTTTTGTCTCTTTTGAACACCCAGTTACTTGAGGGTTTTCATAGTATTTATATCTTTCTGTTTCTACTGCTTGCTATATTTGTGTACACTAAAATTTTTATAGCCATTAGAACGAGAAAATCGCCAGGGAATGTCCAAGATACTGCGGCGAAGAACCAAAATGAACGCAAATTTGCAAAGGAGATCAAACTTGTAAAATCCTGTTTTCTCGCTGTGGCATGCTTTCTTCTTTGTTTTTTGGCTGGTACTCTTGTTTTGTTATTTCAACGTCAAGTTGACAGAGCCGAATTCATCGCATTAAAGATCTTTAGTGGATCACTTATCCTGCTAAGTTCCAGTTTAAATTCCGTAGTATTTTTCTGGACGAGGCCATTATTGCGAAATGAGGCATTCAAAGTTGTAAAAAAGATGTGTACATCTAGGACCTGATTACTTTTGTGCATTGGAGTTGAAGATGCCTGTGGGTTCAGACTTCCACAATTCACCTGTCACGAAGACGCACATATTGTCTAGGAACATCCAGATCAACTCGTGATAAAACCCTCACACCTACAATGTTAATGGTGTACAGCATGTGTACAACATACACATTCTTTCTAACAACTAGGGAAGAAGGGGAGAAAGACCATCGACGGACGAGAACAATCATGTACGTGAATTTTGTAAAGCTTATCACAAAGGCTCCATGGAAAGAAAGCCCTAAATGTAGGCCTATAACTGAAATGTCCCAGGTTTCCTACAATGATAATCATAGAAACGTGGTCTTGAAATTATCAGAACCGAAAACTAATGCCATGAAAAAATCTTTCTTAGTTATGACGCTGTCAAAATCTAAAACTCTGAGAGTAGTGAATAGACAATGGATTAAAAAAACATGTGTAGTGTTTTAATTAAATTATTCCTGTAAGTAATTCCTGCAGTGTAGTATAGTGTCTTCAATTCACTTATGTACCTTAATTATATTCAGTTGCATTATACTTCAATGTTCTAAATACTTAGTTACAAGTGCACAGCCCTTTGAAAAGCGGCTCTTTGTTTATATTGACAATATGTATCTGAAAGGTCACTGATTTTTAAATAAATAAATAATCAGTCGTATGTGATAGGTAAGGCCTTTTAGATTTTCCATGACGACAGCGTGGCAAATTCGGCCAAAACAAACTCCTTGAAATAAATTATCTATCGCTTCAATTTAGTACAGTTTGAAGAGCATGGGATGGAGGCTTTATTCTTGAAATAACCAGCTTATTGTACGTTCGCAATTTTCCCAACTAATGATGACAGTTTACCCGACTTATCGAACAATTTTTCTGGCAGGAAGCCGCCCCTGCACCTCTAGTATATTAAGGGGCGGCGCGAAGATATTACTTTTATTTTTTTTTTAATAACTTGACAATCAATAAGATCGAAGGTCAGGACAACGTAACAGAAGTTGCCAACTAAGTCCCACCAAGACAACACAAATACAGACGTACACATAAAAACTATTCACAACAGTAAAAATTAATCTCGATTGAACAATGCTCGAGTGGTTAATCTATTGAGAAAATTTAAAACTCAGTTTGTGACTAATTTATATGAAAAAAATGTATCTTGGAGTGGTGATAACAATATTTTACGAACGAGCTCAGCGAGTGAGTAAAACATTGTTTTTAACACGAGAAGATAAAGGTTATATCTTCAAGCCACCGCGTAATGTTCTGTTTATAGTCCCAAACAAAAAAGTTGAAATTTCTCGTGCACAGAAAGAAAACGGAAGTTTTATGCAGATAAAGTCGAACATCTGAAAAAGAGTGATACTAGATCCTGGTGAAAGCACGTGAAGCAAATATCTGGTCAATCTAATAATATAGCGCCAATATATATCGAAAAGAACGGAGTAACTTTGACCGACGTGCAATTAGCAGACGCCTTAAATAAATTCTATATCGCCGTGAATGCAGATATTCCTTCCCTTGATATGCACGAGTTACCAGCGTTTTTGCCAGCCGTTGAGCAGGTACCGGTGATATATTCTTATCAGGTTTGTAAGAAATTGCAAAAACTCAACCCTCACAAAGCAATGGGTCCTGACAATATTCCACCATGTCTTTTGAAACAATTTGCTTACGAACTAGTTGAACCAATTTCTGATCTCTTTAACCTCTTTTTATCTTCTTGTATCGTTCCTTGGGAATGCGCGAACATTACTCCTATCCCTAAAGAAAAACTATCGAAAGAGGAGAGTGATCTACGACCAATCTCTTTAACGCCCTGCATCTCTAAGGTTATGGAGGAATTTGTAGCTGCAGAATGGATTCTTGAAGATATTGCACATAAAATCGATCATAAACAATTCGGCGTTATAAAAGGTACATCTACAACTTTGTGCCTCTTGGATATGTTTCACAATCGGCTGTTAAATTTTTATACGCCCGGCCAGTATTTGCGAATTTGTTTTCTAGATTTTAAGGCCTTCGACCGCATCAACCTTAACATTTTGGTTACCAAGTTGGTCTTTTTAGGAGTTATTGCCTTGGATATGTAGTTTTTTGTCAAATCGCAAACAACGAGTTAAATTGGGTAAATCCTTGTCAGAGTGGGTCACAACGAACGCCGGTGTCCCACAAGGCACTAAATTGGGCCCTATTCTGTTTTTCGTCATGATTAACGATCTTGTCCTACCAACATGTAATTATTGGAAATATGTAGATGATCTTACTGCTTCGGAGGTTATAGCCAAATACGGCAGTTCAACAATCCAATCAGATCTTGATTATATATCCCCTTGGTCGTCTGCTAATTACATGAAATTAAACGCGAAGAAATGTAAAGAGCTAAGGGTTTGTTTCTTCCGTGATACGCCTGTTTTGGAACCATTAACTATCGACGGAATACCAATAGATGTTGTTGATTGCCATAAAGTTCTTGGTAGTGTGAACCCTTAGGGCGACGATAGGGTCAAATTTGACCCATAAGATACTTGGGCGTCCTGTAGCAAAAGTATACATGCTAAAATTATGCATGTCAGTTTGAAGCATATTACTTCCTCTTCAAAATAAAACAAAATTCACAGCGATAGCTTGAGTATTGACGATTTTACAGCGATTTTTGTAAGGATTTTGGACAGTTTGTATACAAAAAGGATTACCTAAGCATAAACCAAGTAATGGCCACGTTACATGCCGAAAACGAGTCAGAATTCGACTCAGATTCATCGTGAGATGTCGAAGAATAAACAGATGCATCAGCTGATGAATTTCAGGCCTTTTCAAGGTGCAATGTTGATCCATGCTACCAAGATTCAGTGTTTCACAGTGATGACAATTAATCCCCAACAAGTAAATAAATTATCTAATTTTTGTATTATTATAACGTTATTGATTTATTGAAGTAAATTTTCAATAAATGTAGTAAATTTTGAAACAAATATATGCATCTATGATTACTATGAATATGATATATTATTCACCCTCATCGAAATTTAGGAGAAATATTCTTTCTAGACATCAGCAAATTGGCTGATTACAAGGCTAAAAGTTGCGGCTAGAAATTCCCTGATGACAAGGGCATATGATGATGCTAGAAATAAGGAGTATCAGCCTTATTTTTGTTTCATAATCTTTTGTTTGATATATAGTCATTTTCAAATTTGTAGGAATCATGCAACAGTGACATCACTGCTACTAGTGATAACGAACCAAGGCCCAGTACGTCAAGAGGGAGCGTTGGACCCCCTGTACGCGGTCGTGGAAAGGCTACTGGGCATATAATATATCTCTATTTTACCTGTAGTGATAGCTAGTTAATATAAGAATAACCTATTTTGTTTTATTTGTATACAATATTATAAATTCTAAGTATGATGTTAGTAATAATATAAATTCCTGTAATAATCGTGTTATTACAGGAATTTATACCAGCGGTTTCCGGCATAAAAAAATTGATAACTTATGTAATACTCTTGCTACATATATAATTATGGTATCATTTTGAAGCCAAATGAATTATCTCTTCATTTATATGGACCAAAATACCATTCACTTCTTTTATGCTCCACAAAAGGTCCATAAAAAATGTTTTTGCTTGGGCACGTCCAACTTTTTTAGATACCCGCACCCCCTGATAATAAGGTTCGACTCTTTGCGATACCAATATTCAAGAAGTTCATAGCTATAGCTTCAAAATGATATATAATATGTGTATATAGGATCATTGATTGTATTCAAAAAATTAAATCAATGCAAATAAATTGAACATTAAAATATTCATAAAAAACAATTCGGCTCCCTAA